CTATGCTTGTTGTGAGAGGCGACTATGCTTGTTGTGAGAGGCGACTATGCTTGTTGTGAGAGGCGATTATGCTTGTTGTAAGAGCCGACTATGCTTGTTGTGAGAGGCGACTATGCTTGTGGTAAGAGGCGACTATGCTTGTGGTAAGAGGCGACTATGCTTGTTGTGAAAGGCGACTATGCTTGTTGTGAGAGGCGACTATGCTTGTTGTGAGAGGCGACTATGCTTGTTGTGAGAGGCGACTATGCTTGTTGTGATAGGCGACTATGCTTGTCGTAAGAGGCAACTATCCTTTTTGTGAGAGGCGACTATGCTTGTTGTGAGAGGCGACTATGCTTATGGTGAGAGGCGATTATGCTTGTTGTGAGAGGCGACTATGCTTGTTGTGAGAGGCGACTATGCTTGTTGTGAGAGCCGACTATGCTTGTTATGAGAGGCGACTATGCTTGTGGTAAGAGGCGACTATGCTTGTGGTAAGAGGCGACTATGCTTGTTGTAAGAGGCGGCTATGCTTGCTGTAAGAGGCGACTATGCTTGTTGTGAGAGGCAACTATGCTTGTCGTAAGAGACGATTATGCTTGTTGTGAGAGGCGACTATGCTTGTCGTAAGAGACGACTATCCTTGTCGTAAGAGGCGACTATGCTTGTTGTGAGAGGCGACTATGCTTGTTGTGAGAGGCGACTATGCTTGTCATGAGAGGCGACTATGCTTGTTGTGAGGGGCGACTATGCTTGTCATGAGAGGCGACTATGCTTGTTGTAAGAGGCAACTATGCTTGTTGTGAGAGACGACTATGCTTGTCGTAAGAGGCGACTATGCTTGTTGTGAGAGGCGACTATGCTTGTCGTGAGAGGCGACTGTGCTTGTTGTGAGAGGCGATTATGCTTGTTGTAAGAGCCGACTATGCTTGTTGTGAGAGGCGACTATGCTTGTGGGAAGAGGCGACTATGCTTGTGGTAAGAGGCGACTATGCTTGTTGTGAAAGGCGACTATGCTTGTTGTGAGAGGCGACTATGCTTGTTGTGAAAGGCGACTATGCTTGTCGTAAGAGGCAACTATCCTTTTTGTGAGAGGCGACTATGCTTGTTGTGAGAGGCGACTATGCTTATGGTGAGAGGCGATTATGCTTGTTGTGAGAGGCGACTATGCTTGTTGTGAGAGGCGACTATGCTTGTTGTGAGAGCCGACTATGCTTGTTATGAGAGGCGACTATGCTTGTTGTGAGAGGCGACTATGCTTGTCGTAAGAGGCGACTATGCTTGTTGTGAGAGGCAACTATGCTTGTCGTAAGAGACAATTATGCTTGTTGTGAGAGGCGACTATGCTTGTTGTGAGAGGCGACTATGCTTGTCGTGGGAGGCGACTATGCTTGTTGTTAGAGACGACTATGCTTGTCGTAAGAGGCGACTATGCTTGTTGTGAGAGGCGACTATGCTTGTTGTAAGAGACGACTATGCTTGTTGTAAGAGGCGACTATGCTTGTCGTAAGAGGCAACTATCCTTTTTGTGAGAGGCGACTGTGCTTGTTGTGAGAGGCGACTATGTTTGTGGTGAGAGGCGATTATGCTTGTTGTGAGAGGCGACTATGCTTGTTGTGAGGGGCGACTATGCTTGTTGTGAGAGGCGACTATGCTTGTTATGAGCGGCGACTATGCTTGTTGTGAGAGGCGACTATGCTTGTGGTAAGAGGCGACTATGCTCGGGTAAGAGGCGACTATGCTTGTTGTAAGAGGCGACTATGCTTGTTGTGAGAGGCGACTATGCTTGTCGTAAGAGACGACTATGCTTGTTGTGAGAGGCGACTATGCTTGTTGTGAGAGGCGACTATCCTTGTCGTAAGAGGCGACTATGCTTGTTGTGAGAGGCGACTATGCTTGTGGTAAGAGGCGACTATGCTTGTTGTGAGAGGCGACTATGCTTGTCGTAAGAGACGACAATGCTTGTTGTGAGAGCCGACTATTCTCGTCGTAAGAGGCGACTATGCTTGTTGTGAGAGGCGACTATGCTTGTTGTGAGAGGCGACTATGCTTGTCGTAAGAGGCGACTATGCTTGTTGTGAGAGGCGACTATGCTTGTTGTTAGGGGCGACTAACAGAATCGGGTGGTCAGACTCGGTGGCTTGGTTATTCCAAGTATCCCAATTGCTGGTATGGAATATTTGATTTAAACATATTTATTTTCACACAAAAATATGAAAATGGATTGATAAACAAGTGAAATGTGTCAATACCCACCATAACACACAATGCATGATACAAATAATACACCAGGGAAGGTTGAAAGTAATCAAATCATATGACGAAATATTTGCTACTTTCAATCGTTTTGTGCTGTAAGTGTTTCTATTTGACGGTAACTAAGGGGCGGTCGGGTCGCCTGGTGGTTAAAGCGTTCGCTCGTTACGCCGAAGACCCGGGTTCGATTCACAACATGGGCACAATGTGTGAAGTCCATTTCTAGTGTCCCCCGCCGTGATATTGCTGGAATATTGCTAAAAACAGCGTAAACCCAACCTTACTCACTGACGGTAACTAGTAACTGAAGGTCTTCTCTTCATTTCACGCCACTTCATCATGTCCATCACTTTATAGGTATCCAGATCCCATATTACCCAGCCGTGAGAACAGTATATAGAAATGAGCCTACTGGGTCTAACACAATATAGTACTCTAACTAGTACTGTAAAATTAGTAACTGAACCTATTTTACCTTCACAATATCCACCATACGTTGTGTTACTGATTGTAACGATGGAGCGACGGCGTCAGAGGGAGAAGTAGAGCTGAGGGCGATCATGGACAGACTTAATGTCTCTTCTCGCCCAACGTAGAACTGTAATACTTCAAATACCCAAACACATTGCATATTGCTTAATAAAAGGCGACCGCCTCCGTGGTCTAGTGGTAGAGCGTCCGCCCGGAGAGCGGAAGGTCCGGGGTTCGATCCCCGGCCGGGTCATACCAAAAGACGTTAAAAGATGGTACTTGTTGTTACCGTCTGGCGCTCGACATTAAGGGGCTAAAACAAGGACTGGTCGGCTCGGAGTCAGTATACTGTGTCTTAGTTGGGTATCCATGTTAAACCGCGGCATGATATCTCAGTGTGCTAGCACTATAAATCAGCATCAGTCGGGACTAGTACAAGCAGCCACACACACACATACACGTGCATGCACGTCGCTATATAACCGCAATAATCTTGGACGCGACGTTAAACCCAATTTCACCTTACCTTATGAAAGGCAGTGGTTTATTGTTATATGGTTGTAACAGTTTCAAATACTGAGGTAACAGTTTCAGAACAGGGGTATAAAACAGACAACAATAGTGAAGTCCAAACTAACACGCCTACTGGTCAAGAGTCAACTGGAATGACGCATGTATTCAATAAGAAGGCAAATAATCATTTGTATGTTTACAAAGATGTATTGAAAACGTTTTCTTCCTTATAAACGCAATCAGCTGACTGAGATGAAAAAGTTAACTGAGCTGTCTGTACACGTACATTGTATGTCTGTGATGATGTTTGTTGAACCATCACTGTCGTTACTTAGTAGGAATGGTTGACATTCACATCAAAGTGTGCCAATCACAGACAAGAAATCAATATAATCTGGTGTTGTGTGTGTTGTTAGCTGTTAACATGACCAAACTAAGTGGGCTAATGACTGACCTGTCAATTATGCGCCATTAACCGGAGCGGTGTTGTGAGAAGCACAGTAAATATGTAGGTAAATAGACAGTTCTATACAAATCACACTTACTTTCCATGCAACGATTACCTGGTCGTTTGTCAGTGCCACGTCACAAACGGGCCGCAAACAACTTAACATCAAGTGAGGTTTAATGAGTCCAAGGTAGGGAATTATATCTGTTTACTACCGATGACACGTTAATAAATTGCGTTGATGCGTAATGTTGCCTCACCTGAAATATTTCCAATTCTGTGTAATATGTATGACAAGAGTCATGCAGATCAGGGCTAATGAAGGCTGTGAAACCAGTAATCGGCCAGCTGATATGATCATGGGAAGGAATTATTTAGTATATAATCAGTTGAATAAACAACACTCAACATGTAGCTCCCCAGTATCGTTTTCTGGCCAGTGAGGCCGCCCACAACAGACTTATAATAATAATAATAATAATATTAATATTAATATTAATAATCATATGCAGACCTCGTTTTCGAAATGGCGCGCTTGCGTCCCAAGTATCAAGTTGTCCGACTCCACATTGTTCTTGGTGCCTTAGGTTTGGTACCTCCCAATCTGTTGACTGACATTGGGAGAGTACCCGGGTTTGCTGCCAGGAATACAGCCCTTCTGACAATCTGGGTAATGCAGAAGGCTGCAGTGTTGGGAGTCTTCACATTCTCCGAAAAGTTCTGGGTGTGTTTGACTAGGCAGCGCTTCCTAGGAGAAGTCCCATTCGCTGTCTGGGTTGCGTGTAGAGGGGGCAAGGGCCCCGAGCTGATAACGAGCCTGACTGTGCCAGGATCACCCAAACCCTCTTTGGTGCGTTTTGTACTTTAATCTGTAAATAATAATTATAAGCTAGGTTCTTTAAAAAAGAAATTAGTTTCTTTTATAATACTTTTATATTGCTGGTAAGTAAAGGGATTATGCCTCAGATTTTATCAGAAAGAAACCAAATGTTCGCTGGAGTTTCTGGATGTCCTGCAGGAAATCTACAAACTGTCAGACAAACACATGTCAAGTCTTGAAGCAGTCTAGTGTGTCAGCTCTACAAACCGTCAGACAAACAGATGTCAAGTCTTGAAGCAGTCTAGTGTGTCAACTCTACAAACTGTCAGACAAACACATGTCAAGTCTTGAAGCAGTCTAGTGTGTCAGCTCTACAAACCGTCAGACAAACAGATGTCAAGTCTTGAAGCAGTCTAGTGTGTCAACTCTACAAACTGTCAGACAAACACATGTCAAGTCTTGAAGCAGTCTACTGTGTCAGCCCCTAGGAACCTCTTCGTCTTCTGGTTGCAGGGTCTCAGGTCCTGGGGTTTACTTTCGAGGCAGAAAGCCGGCTTCGGACTGACCTGTTGACCAATTACTCCTTGAAGGTTCGTCCACTGAGTGTCACGGACGTCGGACTCGCCTTCAACATCATTACGGTTAACGATCTGGTGAGTCGAATTATTAGCGTTGTACCCTTTTTAGGAACATTAAATTATTGTATTGTTCATTAGCTTCAACTTTAATTCAGCAGCCTTTGGATGACGGGATATTTGATGTCCAACTCACAAGGTGGACAACGTGAAGTACATCGTTGTTACTTGACAGCCGGAGGCCCACAACACATAACGTTTATAGTTCATCCGCCATGTTCACGAAAAGATACATCCTTTTTATTGATCATCTATCATGTCCACTGACCGATACACTTCTTTCTTCAAAAGTCTTCTCATTTTCGAAGATATTAAATTACCTGTTATTTAATTTGGATGAATACTAGTCCCCGAATCCTTCCTACACGTTTATCTATTTTGCAATTAAGATTCAAGCCAATACAAAGTTTTACATTTCAAGTATCCTTTGCACAGATATGGTTGTGTTCTGTACGTAGGTTATGGCGAAATGTCTGCTCATTTTCATGTGTTGTGGTTAAAGCGTTCGTCACAGAAGCCCGGAGTGTGGTTCCACACAATTCCCCAAAGAGGGAGACCATTTGAGGTGTGGGGAAATTTTAGCCCCAAATGCTTAAAACAGTTTGAAAGAAACCCTGGCCTGTATTAACAAGTGGCTTGTTGTTCACGGATAGAAGGTTGACCAATGTTGCGGTTACCGTTTTTTCTGCGATATATCCTGCAATGTGTTTCTTTTCTTGTGCAGGTGACCCGGACTCAGACGTTTTCCGTGTCAGGCTACTTCACAGTGGTAAGTTGCACTCGGAACAGTGTGCAGCAGCAGCAAGTGTTAGTGGTACCCACCCTATATATTTGACAAGAAAATGAAACATCGCATAGCGAGTTGTACATTGTGTCCAAATGATGCTTCCATGCATTTGAATTTTGAGAAAAAATACTTTTACCTAAAAGCACGAGAATGCGAGAACGTGAGAACGCGATTTTTTTGCAAGATCTCCTGATGTCTTATACCGCCATTCGTATCTATTTTATAGCTTGTTTCCAAAGTTTGATCCCGCGATAACGCGAGATGACCCTCACATTATTCCATAATTTACAGATGCACTGTTCTTCTGTGAATATTACTTACTGCTCGTGGTTTCTGTCGACCATTGAATGTGGCCATGTACCGTTACAGGGTGAACGAATCCACCTCTAATAAGGCAGATGTATGGTTCATATAGTGAGTGAGTGAGTGAGTTGGGTTTAACGCTGTATTGAATAGTATTCCAGTTATATTACAGCAAGTCAACTTGTGGCAGGAAAGCCTGAAGCGATGCAGGTATCAGACGTTTACCTCTTTGGTGAAATCAACGTGCACGGGTATGGTGCTAACAAACCAGGAAACATAATGGGGGCGAGTGGGGATTTGAACCCACAATCATGGGTTGTGAAGAAGGGAACTATGGACATGTATGTATGTATGTATGTATGTATGTATGTATGTATGTATGTATGTATGTATGTATGTATGTATGTATGTATGTATGTATGTATGTATGTATGTATGTATGTATGCATGCATGCATGCATGCATGCATGCATGTAATTGATGTGTATGTTGGCGGGAATTCGGTACGCACGTTTTACTTCCAAGGGCTAGGTGTTTGTATCATGATCTATGCGTTATGTTAACTTGTACCTCGATGGTTAGCATAGTACCACTAATAAATGTAATGATTTAGAAATATTACAAGTTACACGGACCACTGCAGAAAGAAACATTTAAATTAAGACGAGGTGTTTTAATCTGTAAGCTACTCGGATCCGTTGGTGTTTGTTCGAATTCAGATTTAGCTCGATTGTGATCTTTCGCTCGTGATCATAATGAGCACTCCTGATGACCCAGGAACCATTCCAAAACGTGATCTAGACTTCGCCTGGCGTGTTCTGTGTCGAAGTATGGAAGTTATGATAGTCGTAGAGCTTAAATCGCATTGTGAAAAGGCTCTCGTGCTGGGTTTCTTCTCACCTAAAAGGGACCATCACTTTTGAATCTACGAGTTGAAACACATGTTATCTGGAGGCAGTGGTTACCCTCACAACAGAGTGAAAACCGTTTAACTCTCTGCACTAATTACTACATCTACATCGAGTCTGACCTCGGTGAGCAACGTGTCCTTCTACCTGCCACGTGGAATGTCACTATGTGGTTTTACCTCTGTTAAAACTCTTGCAATGCAATTGGTTAATCCGCACCACTTGACGAAACAATGCATTTCAATTTAGAGACCCAAATCACGTGACCGACACTCGAATATTTATTCGTCACATGACTGACCTGTCAGATATAGTCTCGTATGCTAGTTATCAAGATATCGTCTTGAAGAAACATGTCACGGTTCGTAGACTACTGTAATGAAAGACTGGACAGTTTAAAGACTTCATAAACTTTTAAGTGAATTTCCGTATAACAAAACGAATGATTGCTTTTGACGAGGTAAACATTCGAAAACCCGAACCCAAGGACACCAAACATAGTTCTTTCAACAGGAAGCAAAAACGGGGTTTTTTCAGTGTTTCTTGAACAGGTGTCTCCCTTGTTAACCTCTTTAAGCCATCGTTAATTATATCTTTGAAACCCCGGTTGATGCAAGATGAGTTGATGCAAGAAGAATATCGGATACTCATTTATTACTTGCCCGTGAAGAGATCACCCGTTTAATAAACATACAGCTTTATTACACATTGTGTAATACCAAAACGCGTGCTTATGAACTCTCGGAACACGTTTTACGAACCAATATTGAAAGCTCTCAACATCCCTTGGCTTATTCAACGACATTGCGTGTGGAGTTGATAGATCACTGAGAGGAGCTTATGCACACTCGATGACCCCAGCAACCTTGTTGCTAGGCTGACGTCACATGGCATTGTTTCGCCGATGGATCTTGCATCAAAATTCCACAAATTACGTCATCGGGTATTGTGACGTTATTGAAAACTTTGAGGTGCAAGGCCCGTTCCACAAGGCGATCGTATTGTAGCGCAACGACAGTCGTTGGTCTAAGTTAAAGTATGTGAGATGCGAAAGTCTTAGCCCTACGATAATTTTGTGAATTCTAAAGGTAGACCCGTTTTATGGTATGAAATTCATACATTTCAACTTTTGACGTGTTTGAAGTATTATTCTGTTAAACTCAATTGGACTATGTCGTGGATCATGTAGGTGTCAGCCTATTCATACTCCACAGTATAATTCAAAAAACGTTATAAATATAAATTGCTAGTAATAAATAAAATACTAAACTCGCTCACGTTTAAAACCAATTTTAAACTCGTGAATAGTTGTGGTATCTGACTCGCTTTCGCTCGTCAGATACCACAACTATTCACTCGTTTCATAAAATTGGTATTACACGGGAGCTCGTTTAGTATTCTATATTTCTGTGGTAGCCCACATATACTGACTCATGTATTGTATTTTGCCAAGGTATGGAACGACACACGCCTGGAATGGAACACTACAAAGTACGACGACATTATGTTCATCTTTTCCGATGAAACTGAAATATGGCGACCCTCGCTCGTGGTAAAAAACGCGTAAGTTATTCGAATCATTATATCTGGAATACTGTTAAGCATCCACGAAGGTAAAGAATTACACCATTTCACAATTAATGTTAATTATTCAATGTCAATGATGATTATGCAACATGCAACTCATGTATTCTTCAAAATCTTTAGGCATCTAATTTCCATCTTTAAATCCTCTGTGTTGCAATGTGTATTTATTCACTGTAAACATGGCACGAAAGTAGTATAGGTAATAGGGGTTCTGGCTCACTTCCACTGGAGCCGGATTTATATACTGCTACTACAGGGGAAATTTTTTATGCCAAAATGACTATGCGATTCAACGATAGTCATGAGTTGTATTAAACGAAACATCAATATTAATTAATAATGGATAAAATTTACTATAGCCCACGAGGATATTGGAAAGGTGAAGGAGCAATAAAAAAATTAGCCACCGCGGCTAAGGTATCTAAAGATGTGGCCAAGGATTGGTTAAAGAAGAAGAAGGATTTCAGAGGCACAAAGATGGCAAAAAGGCGGAGAGCATGCAGCAGGTTTTTTAGCTGCAGCTTCAATCACACAGTAATCAGCCGATTGGTGAGACAACATGGTGAAACCAATTCTGTGGATGGTCTTCCACTGTCAGGACGACCTCCTGCGACGTCACAGAGTTAAGACTGCTTCGATTAGTACCACGACAGGACTGTCTACAATGGCTACCCAGTCCACTTCTGCCACCAGAACCTTGAGTGACCGAATGTGAGCAGCGTGAATGGCGCCTAGGGGGATCGTCAAGCGCACCCTACTGCCAGATCGCCATCAGGGCTTACCTTTGGCACGGTGTTTAACTCGACGGACTTGGTATGTGAGTACCTGGTGGACCCCCTCGTTCTGACGAATGCTCCATGTCACGGATGACAACTGGTGACTTGGCTGCACAGGAATGCGGCTTCGATACCCAGGATACGCGATACATCAAGACACCTGTGCCGTGTAGGGCGTCTCGGTGATGATTGGGGGAGGTCTTCACACGATTGCAAGTTTGACCTGTTTATCCTACAAGTCAACCTCACAGGTAGTCAGTACGTTCGAGATGTCCTGCAACCAGACACCGTTCCCGGGCAGCCTACCAGAACAACGCTGTAATTGTCTCTGCCTGAACCCGCCTTAAATCTTAAGATCTGATCGACAGGAATACTTGGGTGTCGTATACAGGCACTGTCACCTGTAAAACGTGTGCGGGATTTGGAAGCAGCTTTGCATCGCGAGTTGCGAGTTGCCCTTTCAGTAGTTCCGACGTCTGGCCGAAGAGATGAGACACGGGTTGGAGACCGTCATCCGGGCACGTGGCGGGTTTACTCTCGAATGAACGTGTGTAATCCGGGGCCTCAGAGTGACGTTAGTATATCGAAAGAGCCACCTGCAATTGCAATATGTCAATGGTCGGTCGGATCGTTGGTTCCAAATTCCATGTCTGATTCTGTCCTTTCAGACATATGACTGGCCGTAAATTGCATAAGACTGCAGCCTGTGTTAGTCTTCATCACGTCCCGTTTTATCAAGTTTGGAAATATCTTGTTCTGTTTCGAAGTAACTTGATTCTGATAAGCTACATAAAATTGAATCGTAGTATGAAAATATGTTCCCATTCTCCGAATCACTTAATGGAGTTAGACTGTTGAACATTCAAACTGTTTTACTATCATTGAAAAATGATTATTATATATTTCTTGTGTTCGTGGTATGTTTTAGAATCGACAATTTAGACGTCATAGCTAACGAACACATTCCACTGAGAGTCAGTAACGAGGGCAGAATAAACTGGAATCCACCCGGAATTTACAAAACCTACTGCGACATTGACATCACCTACTACCCCTTCGACTTCCAGCTATGTTCTGTCGTCATTCAAAGCTGGGGCTACAACATCAGGGAACTTGACTTAAAGAAATATCGCGAGGATGTGGACACTGCTGAGTATGTAAAAAACGGGGAGTGGAGCTTGATAGAGGCTTTCAGCGAGAGACAGGAGGAGACACGTACACTTAGCTCTGACGCCAAAACCTATGCCACGGTTGCCTTCAAATTCCGACTTCAGCGGAGACCAGAATATTATGGCATCAACATCATCCTTCCCGTGGTGGTTCTGTCCATCCTGTCGGCCCTGGTGTTCGTCCTGCCTCCGGACAGCGGGGAGAAGATGGGCTACTCCCTCACGGTGCTTCTCTCCTTTGCTGTCTTCCTGACCCTCATCGCTGACCGCATGCACAAGACCAAATAGCGTCCATTCCAATTTGGAATGATCGTTGGATTTCTTTGGAAAGATCGCTCATTCCAACATTTCCAAAGCTTGGAAAGATCGATCTTTCCAAAAAATCCAAAATTGGAATGGCAACATTTCCAAGCATATTTCCAAAATTGGAAATGTTTGGAATGGCTTGGAATGGTTTGGAATGGTTTGGAAATATGGTTAGAAGGAAAAAGTTAAAATATGTTTTATCAGTAATTTGGACAATAACAACAGTTATTTATTGAGTTTAAACTATATAATAATATATTTATCTCAAACATTCACTACTTGTCTGTGTAGCGAGGGGCTTTTACAGTCTCAGTCCCTAAGGTGGGAGAGAGACCCGCACTTGACTCGACAAGACCCTAATAGGTCTCAAGATTAAGTATTCGGCTGGATGGCAGCTGCCATTTAATGACAAAACAGACGGTCGTCTAGACGGCTCATATGTAAGTGCGCCGACATGTGCCTAAGATCATAGAATGGACAATCTTTAGTAACATCTAATTGATTGTTGTCTCAGGCCAGAGCTGTGAATAATTCTGTTCATTGAACAATTGGAATTCAGGAAGTTATCAATAATTGTTTTATTTAACATGTTTACGACATAATATTATGACATCAGGACGTACTACAGACAGAACCATATATTTTAAAATCAGTTTGCAATCAGTTTAAACTCTTTAACCGCGGGAAACGAACACTGAATTATTTATGAATGCTTCAATAGAATACAAAACATGTTTTTGTTATCCTTATTACAAACAAAAAATAATAATTCCAAACCGACAGATTTCAGATAACCTGAAATTACGCTTCGTGAACAAGTCGGGCGTCCTTATAGACGTGTATTTATGTCATATAATGAGAGACTATGATTTCCAAGTCCCGATTATCATGTCAATGATATATCAGTTTTACCACATGTGCACAGACCGCCTATACTTTTGCATAACTATTCTCAACTGAAAGTCCTATCCTCTTATCAAATATTCTGTGAGAGTAATCATCATTAATATAAGAAAACTCATTCTCATCAAAGAATACAGAACAAATGACTCAGATGCATACATTTATTACCATGCTTCATTCATCACGAAGCAGATTTACATAATTTGTGAACAGCCCTTGAACTGTGATTATGAATTTTACCATTGTCCATATTAACAGAATAATATATACATATATACAAAACAGGTCAAGTTTGGAATTTTGAAATATGCCATAAAAGGTAGAAGGAGGGGGGGGGGATTCCGTCAAACAACTGTCAAACCATTTATTGCCATGTACGTACTTGCACACAGGGAAGTCAGCGCTGTCTGGGGCTCCAGGTAAATAAACATCGTGGTTTTATGACGGGAGATCAGACGAACCGTGAACCAGAGGCATGCGACGTAATTACACCAGGGTATTGTCTCTTGAACTGGCTAATTGACTTCATATAATTGGTAAATATATTCGTTTTGACGACCGTGATTCATGCGCATCCCGGCTCATTAAGTGGGCTCCAGGCCATAAAAACAAAACCACAAAAAACGCCCCAAACTAATACAACAGATAAAAGCGCCAACAATCTACGTAAACTAGGTAAAGACATAGAAATAGTTTGGATCCCTGCCCACGTTGGGGTGTTTGGCAACGAACATGTAGACAAAGCAGCCAAATCAGCACTAAAATTAGAAGAAGTAAGCATCCCAAGCATCAACCTACCAAAATAAAAAAAAAGAAATTAAAAGTATCTCAAAGGAAAATAGCGGCAAAATAACAATCAGAAATATGATTGCAAACTAAAACGCCACTCAAAAAAACATATCCATCATAAAACCAAAAACATTGACAGAGTAATAACCAAACTACAAACAGGCCACACTAAGTTAAGCTCTCACCTACACCTAATTAAAAAAACCACCAAACCGGTAAATACCCCCACTGCAACTTAAAAAGAAACGCCCGAACACGTATTATTCCCGTGTGACATTTACATTTAGAGCGCCCTATTCAATACTTTATGGAACACATTACCAGCAACACAGACCAAACAACACTCCAATCCTCACTAAATTGCAACAATCACATGACTGTACTGAACCCCCTACATGACTTTAAACCTTTGAAGCACTAAGCATATATCTAATCAAACCAGGCCTACTTGGCCGCATTTAAAAAAAAGGACAAAAAACAAGCTGCCAATAAACCCTAAAATTCCTAACCTAAAAAAACACCCCTTTTAGTAAGTAAGTAAGCATGTTCTGATGAGGATATGAATGATGATGATTCTAAACTACTCCATGGTATGTCAGTGCTGAGCTGACCCAGCTGTCTTCTTTCTGCAACCAGGCAGGAGGTGGTGCAAATGACGAGACGCCTGTAATTCGTCTCGTCCGTGGTACGATGGACGCTGCTGTCTTGGTTGTTTTACTAAATGTCTCGTCGGCCACTTTTTTAGCGGCCCTCATTTCATGACTCTCCCAGTCCCTCCTTCTCACATTGAAGACCCGGTTGCCATCCTCGTCGACCGAACTCTCTTCTGACGACATGAGCTGCGTTTTTTTCATTACTCGAATGTACTTGGTCCTTGTGTGATGAGGTAGTTCGGATTTTTCAATGCCAGTTACACGGTTTCTGCTTTTCTGAAAGCAAAACCGTTCACTTTATAACACCCACCTTTCTTAAACACGAAATAAAACGAAGACAAAACAGAAATGTGCCCATTACTTCAGTAGAATAGTTTGTCCTGAGCATGTTGTGTTTAGAGTCACTATAAATCGAAATTCTGTAAATGGGAAGAAATATATATCTAAATCTATAAAAAGAAGTCTACAGATAATCTTCAAGTTTCAGTAACATTAACTTACAACTCATAGTACATATTATTTGCAGTTGAACTCCTAAAGTAAAACTCACTGCGTACAAGCAGGAGTTATTTAAGACGTTTTAATGCAGGAATAACAAACATGAAACATTTTATTCTCATTTCAGAGAAGCAATTGCAGCAACTATAGTTATACGCATCGTTACATTCCTAACTATCTATCTGGTACTTGGTGTGAATATTAGTCACTCCCCACAGAGTATGAAACATGAAACATTTCGTAGTATAGATAAATATACTACCAAAAGACATGTTACAACAATGATCTCAAGGTATGATTGGATTTATATACGTTTTAAAATGACACGACATTTCTAACAACATTGGAACATATCGCAAGTAAGGGAGATATGTCAGTTACGATTCCGATATTCTGGTTTTGTTTATCAGAACAATTTAAGAAAAATCTCTGTGGAATGGCTGGGCAGCTGAGTGGTGATCTGCTCGAGGCTAATTTGTGTCGATTTAACATGTTTGACAACGAAAGTCCGGATCGATAGTAATGTAACTCATCAATATAGAATATTTGGTAACGGAAAGAATTGGATAGTACATAGTACATTTAGATAAGAACGTAGTGAAATAAATGGCTACAAATTTGATAGATTTGCTCCTCATAATTTATCTTCTAGTTGTGGTTACTTTTATCAGGGTAATGTTCATTATCTGTTTCAGTACCCAAGGTACAGTCCTCTGAGATGCAATAGTAAATTATGTGGAAGGAATTTGTCTGGAGGGAACTTCATATAGGCATTGTCTGTTGGCCTTCTTTATTTGAGATAAACCATTCTTTAAATCATTAAAAACAAATGCTTCCTAATTTATCATATTCTGAGAGTTTCTGTAATTGTATTTGTGGCATATCTACCTCTAACCAATTTTCTATGTGCATATACATGCGGCCGCGGGTGACAGATTTATTAGGGTCATTGGGTGACGCTCAGGGTTTCTATAAAGGTAGAAAGATGGCGTTATGTACCTTTTTATGGCGGAAAGTGTTATTTGTGTAACATTAGTTATTTAGGAAATGATTTCAACTATTTGAATATATTGACAACACATTTACATTGAGGGTGCAATGTAAATTCGTCAAGTAACATTTAAAAGAAACTATTAATTTCTTGCAACGACAATAATAACTACCAAGAAATGGTAAGATTTAAACCTTACCTAACAACGTTTATACAATTCAATATTACTGAGACCGGGCAAAACCCTGCTGTTAAAAGAGAAATTCATACGCATATAATAGCAAGCCAATGATTTTTTAAATTTTGTTGCTAAATCGTATTGCTCAACACAAAATAGTATTGAGGACAACAGGCAACCTTGCCTTACTAGGCTTGGTAATGGAAACATATCCGTCGGATGGGCATTAATGGATACACATGACCTATTATTTCATATATTGACAACTGCTCAAAAATCCGTTTCAGTAATACCTAATTTTAACAACAGAACAGTCACGGTTTACTTTATAAAATGTTTCGAGGCGTGATGTTGACAAACAAAAAGTAGTACGCCTCATAATATCCTTTGATCAATGACCGCTTAAAATGTATGCAGGTTCAGTCGTTTTACTCTTCTGTATATGAATTGATTCAAGCCAGGTAAATAGGAAATTCAATAAGTCAGAGCAAAGTTATACATGGAATATCAAAGATATCCCGAGGTGATTAGCGACACACCTCTTAATAAGTATTATGATTAGTTTATTTCACAGGTTAAAATACTGTGAAAGACTTAAAAAACGATATTATATATATTGACTGGATTCTATTATCTACTAATGTGCAAAACCACAAGCCCTAACCACTGACGTCAGTACCGGCAAAGCACTCGGGAGCATCGCTTGGAATCTTCTTCTTCTTATTATTTTCTAAACACGTTGTATGATGATATTGCATTTACATGAATTCATTTGCCAATGTCCTAGTTGACTCTCCGATGCATATGTGCATCAATGGACGCCCAAAATATTATTTCGAAGCTGTTATGCGAATACATGGAAGAATACCGGCAGAGATGTGCCCCACTTTTACTCTTATGTAGAAGACGAGCGAGTGGTAGCTAGACTGGCAAAAAGCTCTTGTAAAATATATACTTTCATATTAAAGGT